TTTTCCAGATGAACCCATCTGAATACCCCACCCACCCTTCCTCTCATCTTTTTACCCTGGCGCACCCCCAACCCCCCCCTGTCCTACCCTAGTGTTAACCACCCAGGACCATCACCCATCACCATCTTGGCGGGCCGACTTGACAACACAAGCCTTACTTCAACCACACGTGCTGCACAGCTGTGAGGTGCACTGTGCCGCTATGCGTGCAACCTGCCTGTGAGTCGCACCGGCAAAATTTGTCTCACATCGGGGCCGTGGACCGGTGTAAACCACCAGCCATTGCGGTCCCGTAGGCTGAGCCTCCGGAATTTCCATAGGTGACGAGTTCAAGTGCCGAGCCTCTAGAATTTCCATAGGTGACGAGTTCCATTTTCTGCAAGGCCGGGTCCATGTGCTGGCGGTTTAAACCACCAGTACATCCAAGCCTCTTTTGTACGAGGCGGATTCTCAGTGCACATGGCCATTTCCACATTATCACAGTCCCGAGTTTCATTTTCTGAATGAGGGGGGGGTGCAAAAACAACCTCAGCAAATCACTTGGGTGAGCCCATGGCCATTTCCATATTATCACAGCCCGAGCTTCATTTTCTGAATGAAGGCCAGTGCAAAAAACAGCGTCGACATGTCACTTGGGTGAGCCTATGGAAAGTAAGGCTGGGCAAAGTGGAAAGCCGACAGGTCCCTGAAATCTGAGCCGTAAACACTTTGCCCAGCCGGCTTTTCACTTTGCCCAGGTCACTTTGCCCAGCCGGCTTTCCACTTTGCCCAGGTCATCTGAATGGTTGATTTCTCCATTAACCCTCAAGGGTTCAAGGAGGCAGACTACCAGGTCATCTGAATTGTTCCAAGGGGGTTGAATTGTCATGGGGCATAGAAATGACAGATCCCGCTCGCTCGCGCTAGATTTCTAGATCGGTTTTGCCGCAATCTACTCAAGTGGCTTCTTTTACAGGAACACGTTTTCTATCGCCATCAACCACGCTGCATCCTCACTCTACAGGTGTGCCCTTGGCAGGCAGAGCACATTCATTGAGCACAGCCCTTCGGGAGCTCCTGAGAAACGTTGATGATAAACTGGGAGGGGACGAGTTCCTTGGAACAGACCTTGAGGACTTCGAAGACATAAGGTTAGTGAGCATCGAGGTCGAGGAGAAGGGAGGAGGGATCAAGTCGGGCCTGCAGGTCGGGAGCAGCCCCCGCATGTTCTCTCGTGAACACGGTTCTGGCCGCTACACTGTTCTCTGTATGACTATAAGTGGGAGTAGTGGTAGGTAGGTAGTGCAAGGTTAAATTGAGACAAGAATGTCGCTTACTTTTTTTAAGTTTTTTTCTGGAAAAAAAAAAAAAAAGTTGAGACCCACCACCATACTCCACTAGCACAGTGCAGTTGATGATAAACTGGGAGGGAACAAGCTCTGGAGAACGCGGGCAATTTGAAAAAATAAGGTCAATTGGCACAACAGCCCTTGATGAGCGGGATAGAGATCGCTTCCCAACCGTAAACCCAAAAAACAGTAGTTTTGATCACTCGCGCAAGTTGATAAAGCACGCAATAGATTATTTTGTTATGCAATATTTTTTCTATGCAAAAAATCGATCGAAATTTGATCCGGCAGCTTAAACCGCCAGTACTTGGCCCAGCCCCCAGTCCTTCCTAGAGTCATGCCCCTTAACAAGCCATGATTTCAGGAAATGTACGGGCCACTACAGAAGCACCCAAATTCATCTGATAAGATACGTTTCTACTCTATTTTTTTCCACGGCCTAACGCCGGGCCAAGTACTGGTGGTTTAATAGGCTTTGTTTGCCAAAAAGAGAGTTACGTTCACTTGGGAAGTCGTGTGTTGATACATGCGCTGCGCCCCTCAACGACTACACGCCAGACATCCCTTGCTTGGGACAATAAAATAGTCGAGACCTACCAAACTTCTCAGGCACAGTTAAGTCTCCTCCTTGCGTTTACAAAATTTCTTCCTGGCGATTATCAACTGTATAAACCAAATCGGCAAATAGTTCAGGACCTGTACATCGCCAGCACAGTGCAGCCTCCATCCATCCGCATCCCCTCACAAGAAAAAAGCCCAGTTCGGTAACTTCCACCAAGGGATGTTTCTCAGAATGAAGTGCCCTGTTCACTCCAGATTAGTTCCCTAGTGATCTATCGTTATTTATTTTTTATTTGTGGATTGTTATTCCTTCAATGCCGCTGTCTTCAGGGGAATAAAATGCAGTGTCATTATTGCTCTATCTAAACCGAAAGGTTGCCCTGAATACAGCTAGAACAAACAGGCATTCTTACTCGTGTAGGTATTTCAGCAGTTCATCTGTGTACCAGGCGATCTCCTTCTTTTTTTTTTTTTTTTCTAGATGTGTATAAGAGACAGGACCAGGGAAGGTCCCAGCAAAAAAAAAAAAAAAAAAAAAAAAATCCGAAAAACAACTATGTTATGCAAAAAAATAAACTGAACAACGTTTGCCTCAGGGTCACATCGAAATTCTGCACCAAATTTAAAAAACCAAAATTAATTTAAAATATATAGTAGTTTCCCCAACCTGAAATCAACGGAACCAAAGCACTGATGAGTCGGTGTACAGCGAAACCTTTGTGAGATTGTATTACAAAACGAGTTTGCGAAAGAAGTGTTATATATATATATATATATAATTGTTTTTGGCCCGGCCGGGCAAGTGACCCCGGGCCACTCTGGTAGCCTAGCTTTGTACTGTTTTTTTCTAGGAAGATTTTCATGTCCGGCCAAGAACTCTAGCATGACGCCCCCAAGGGTCTAACGTCAAATCCGGACTCATTTCTTTTTTGCGAGTTAGCTCTCAAAGGGGGGGGGGAGGGATATAAATCGGTTTCAAAGCAGCTAAAGGGGTTTAAATGAGGGGATCTTAGTCTGATTTTATTATTTTGTTTTTATCTGAAACTCCGTGATGAATTCTAATATAACCCTCAAACAAAAATTGGTTGAATCTTCAAGGAAGATTTTCATGCCCCGCCGGGCCTACCCTGCTGGTCACCCGGGCGTGAAAAAAAAAAAAAAAATTATTTTTCTTTTTTTTTTGCCTTCGTGTGCTCGCTGAAAGGACCCCAAATCCGAACCCTTTTCATTTTTTGAGAGTTGGTTGTCAAGGGGGGCGAAAGGGGGTATAATTTTATTTTGAAGGGGCTAAGGGGGTGTAAAGGGGGGTGCCTTAGTGTGATTTTTTTAATTTTTTTTTACCATTGATTTGGTGAGGAATTTTGATGTGACCCTCAACTAAAAGTTGTTCGTATTACAACATACTTGTTATCTGTATTTTTTTTCTTCGTTTTTTTTTTTTTTTTTGCGTTGGGGCTGCCCTGAACCATTCTCGGGGGTCATTCCCGACCGAGCACCTGGGCATCTATCCGGGGGCAAGTTGGGTGCCCGGAAAAACAGCCTAGGTTTGTATTGCAATTTCCCGATTTTTTAATTTTTTGGGTTTAGGGCTGTCCGGAATCCTGCCCGGGAGTCAGGCCGACCGGGTTACCCGGGCATAAGTTGGGTTCCTGAGCGCCCGAAAAAACAACCTAGTTTTTTTTTAATTGATTGGTTGGTTGGTTGGTTGATTGACCAGTAAAGAGGGTGGTTTCAACATGCTTTTTTTTTTTTTTTTTT